ACAAAGTGGGCAGGTTTAGAGGCATTTGGATCATGAAGAAACAGATTTTGGAGGCTGGAAACATAGAGGCTCTACTTTGCAGTGGCAAAGTCTTTTAAAATGTTACATGTAAAATTTTTGAGGCAGGCCCTGTTTACATAGTCTTAGCCCTAGTGGAAGTGGTTGATAAGACCTCAAATGTTGTGCTAAAGTTGTTTTTAGCGAGGTATTACAAGACAAGATGAGAAAGGAATGAATCGACTGGGTTGCAAAGAGAAAAGGAAGAGTGAGTTCAGAAATTTTGGGTTTCATAGGACTGTAAAAATCTCACAGCTCTTAGGTCTCAAACAGTAATAAATAAAACTGAATATAAGTCCTTAACTGACAAAGGCCCATTAAGATTTTTCAGTTAAACATGGACACTACTCCTTATAGAAAAGACCAGACCAAGGGTTTAAACTTCTGACATACGCCCATTATTTCAGATGGCTTCTAGCTAGCTACTACTGAAGTTGAAGTAGTCATGGGATGAGTAAGCTAATTAATTGAGTAATTAATTAAAGAAGGCATTTATGTAAGGGAAATCTTTGTCTCTGGACATCTGACTGAAAGCAAATAGATTAAACAAAATATTTGTGGTAATTGTACTTGTTGAGTTTGACAATGAAATCTGTGATATTTGAATGACTTACTGGCTTCCAAATTTGTATTACCAGGGAGTAGGCTTGAAATTTGTACCTTGTTCAGGAGGGTTTCTTCCCCAACATCTACTTCAGATGTAGCCAAGAAGGATAATAATTATAAAGAACATCCAGAGGGTAGAGCCAGGAGCCACAAAGAATGATGAACAAGGGAGTTCTTCCCAGAGCCCAGACACAGGGACTAATCAGGAACTTCTCTGTAAAGTCAGTGCCAGGGGCTTCACAGTATCTACCCAGATTTTGTCACTGCTGTGGACCTTCACAGTATCTACCCAGATTTTGTCACTGCTGTGGACAATCAACAGCTGTAGACCCCCTATTTTCTTTGCCAAATGAAAGTTTATTCTTTCCAGCTAGGCTGACCCTAACCATTTTATATTTGGAGGTGAAAGATGGAGGAAGGCATCCATCCATTTTGTGTTTTCTGAGTTCATTTGTCATCAGACTACGAGGGACAGCAACCTCTAATCATGTAGAGAACTTCTTATCACCCCAAATTCCTGGGTCTTAAACTGATAGAACTTAAATACAGAACTCTGAGTTGTGTCCCCAGGGAAGGGCTATCAGTGTGTTCTGTGAGTGAGGAAAAGGGTACATACGGTGATTTAAAAACAGGCATGGAGACTGTGGCAGATGCAGTGAGGCAGACCAAAATCCTTATTTTCTTCTTCCTAAGCATGCCTGAGACATCTCCCAGCCTCCTTTGCAGTTAAGTGTGATCAAATGACAAAGTTCTAGACAAAGCAGTGTGAAAACTCCACATCTAGCCCATAAATACTATCCACTCCAAACACACACACAATAGAGAATACCCCCGGGCAACCATAGAAAATGAGCTGAAATATCATTAAGATGGTGACAATTTCTCTCCTCACTACACATGGATCAGTTTCCTCTAAGAAAAATCCAGACTGAGTGACTCCTACACATTGGGAAACTTAGAATATATCCACATCAAAACAAGTAGGAAAGGCTGAAACACACTTTCAGCATAAGCCTCACCCCTGCACAGCACCAATCAGGAGGGAACCCCAACTCCCAGCTTCTCCCGAAAGAGCAAAAAGTTTAGACCACACATATAATGCCCCAACTTGTAACCCAAGAAATGCTCTCCCAAATCACCTAGCTCTAAGAGCCAAGAGGGCTTGCACCTAGGCCTACAGGACTATTATCAGACAAAGCAGCAGTTAAGACATGCTAGCACTCCCCACGGCAATCCCTTCCCACCCCCAGGTTCAGTGCAGAGGGAGCAGGAGAAAACACTGATTTCTATGTTTCTCCCTAGAAGAAATTTGCAGACTTTCACAGCTGCTGCCTGAGGATATGGCTTCTAATCAGCCTGTATGTTGGCCTGTGATCCTCCCAGGAGCCTGACAGAAGAGCAGGGCACATCACCCACTGTGTCCTCCCAGATCACTTCAACAATAAAACCAAATCTCCAGCTTCTCACTAGAAGCACATCCAGACACCCAGCATCCCAACTATTATGACTGGCTCCTGGGAACTGGCAGGATTCAGCATTCACAAATCCCTGGGGACCACACAAACTAAAGAGGTGGTTCTAAATGTGCACACAAAGACTCCCAGTAACTATCCCCTCTGCTTAAGCACAAAGTAGGCAAAAACACTCAGCTCTGTTTCTCCCTCATAGGGGTTAGTCTGCATATCTAATGTCCTGACTTCCTAATTGCTGCATGAAGGTCAGACCTGCATCAAGGAGCTGACGGGCATAGTAATTAGTAGTTCTCCAGGAGCCTGACTTAGTGACACTGATGGGTCTTCACATACCATCATCTGCTGGGAGCCCCTGGGAGCCGCTAAGAACAAAAACAGTGGCATGGACAGTCACAAAGGTTTTAGTGGCAAACATGCACTTGGGGTGGGCTGATTGAAAGTTCTCAAATAAACAACCTAATTTATACTTCAAGGAACCACCAAAAAAAAAAAAAAACCACTAACAAGGAGTGTAAATGAAAAGCAGAGACTATACAGATAGTAGAAAAAAATCAAACTACAAGCTGGTTTTTTTCTTAAAGATATACAAAACTGACAAGTCTTTAGACTAAGAGATAAGGCTCAAATAAAATGATAAATGAAAGACATATTATGCCTGATAACTACAATAGTGAGAATTTGCCAATATAGTCCTTTACAGACCCACTGGTGCTTACCTTTAAACTCTTCTAAAGGATCATAAAGCTAACCAGGTCATTAAAAAGTACTAAAGGGCGGTGGGGGGGGGGAGCAGCGGGCGGGGGTCGCATGGAGCTGCCTGGGTGGCTCAGTCGGTTAAGTGTCTTAACTCTTTTTTTTTTTTTT